ACATTACTATCCGTTTTCTGGATGATGAAATTGAGGCACAGGGAGGTTAAACAAATTGTGTCACAAAGCTGGAGTTGAAATGTGAATGCAGGCTGTCTGGCTCAGCATGGGCTTTTAGCTACCGCACTATTTTGCCTCTTTATAGCACTGGTCATTACCATATTTTAGATTTGTTTATTATCTCCCACTCTTCCCACTTGTTTCAGTTATTGCTGCATAACCAACCACCCCAAAACTCGGTGGCTTAAAGCAACAACTTATTGTTTCTCAGGAATTTAGGTCAGGAATTCAGGAAGTGCTTGACTAGGCTGTTCTTCTGCTTCACTTGGCATTGGCTGATGTCACTCATTCAGCTGCATTCAGAAGGTGACTGGGCCGGCCTGGAAGGTACGAGAAGGTTTTACTCATATGTCTGGTACCTCAATGTTTATCCATGTGACCTCTCTCTTTATATGGCTAATCAATCTGGAGTATACCATGGAAGCTGGCTTTTCAGAGAGAAACATGGAAGCTGCCAGTTCTCTTTAAGGCCTTGATTCAGAACTTCATTATTGCCACATTCTATTACTTAAAAAAATAAAAAATCTCAAGGCTAGCCTATATGTGCGGGGAGAGGACACAGGTTCCATCATTTGATGTCAGTAGTGATGTTTGTATGCATGGAGGGAGGAAGTGATGACTTCCATGTTGAGACTGTCTTCCACAGCACCAGAGTCTTTGTTCCATAAGAACAGGGACTCGTGTCAATTTTATTCATTATTATGTCTTTTCAGTGCCTAGAACAATGCCTGACACATAATAAGTATGTATTAAATATTTATTTTGTCTCTGAATTTAAGGGGCAGGTGAAAGAAGGAGTCTGCAAAGGTAAAGGAAAGGTCTGAAGGAGTAGGGGGGAAACTCCTGCTATGACTCCTGGAAGGAGTGTGTCCCAGCAGTCAAGGAAGAAAAAAGTGAAAGGAAGATATGATTGAGAACTAGACCTTTAAAAAAAATGTTTAGGGATGGGTGCAGTGGCTCACACCTGTAATCCCACCATTTTGGGAGGCCGAGGTAGGCAGATCCCTTCAGATCAGGAGTTCGAGACCAGCCTGGGCCACATGTGAAACCCCATCTCTACCAAAAATACAAAAATTAGTCAGGTATGGTGGTGTGCACCTGTAATCCCAGTTACTTGGGAGGTTGAGGTGGGAGGATCACTTGACCCCAGAAAGTCAAGGCTGCAGTGAGCCAAGATGGTGCCACTGCACTTCAGCCTTGGTGATGGAACAAGACCCTGACTAAAATAAAATAAAGTTTAAAAGCTTTAAAAATAAGCAAAGAGCATACGATTAAAAATTTAAACAGCACAAAATGGTATAGAGAGAAAAGTGAATTTTTTTCTCCCTCTTGTTCCCGATTTCCCTCCCCAGTGGTAGCCACTCTTTAATGTATTCTTTCAGAGCTAATATATGCATATACTAGGATAAAAATATATGTTAAATCCATCTATTTGATGATAACTAAAATTAAAATCCTGAGCCCCCCAATCAACTGAATGGACCCTCTTTTGGCCAAGGGGACCCCTGAGAAACCTTAAAAACTGAGTTCCTGGCATCAGCAGAGTCAGACATGCCTTGTTATAACCTCTCTCTTCTGTGGCTTAGACACAACTGACCAGCCGTTAAAATAGAGATCACAAAACTGATGGAACAGACTCTCTGTGGCAATAAGATACCAAATTACAAACAGGATCTAAGACCACGCCACAAAAGGGTTGTCATGCACCCCTGCACTTAAAGAATAACCTATGTTCTGGGCCAGGTAAAATGGCTCACACCTGTTTGGGAGACCAAGGTGGGAGGACTGTTTGAGTCCAGGGGTTTGAGACCAGTCTAGGCAATGGAGTGAGACCCTCTCTCTACAAAAGAAAAAGAAAAAGAAAAAAAATTAAATTACCTGAATGTGGTGGCATGCACCTATAGTCTCAGCTACTCAGGAGGCTGACGTGGGAGGATTGCCTGAGCCCAGGAGATTGAGGCTGCAGTGAGCCATGTTCATGCCACTGCACTCCAGCCTGGGTGTCAGAGTAAGATCCTGTCTCAAAGATGAATGAATGAATGAATGAGCTATGTTCTAACTGCCTAAGGTTTCTTTTTTTTTTTTTTTCCCTAGCAGTTAAACAAGTGCTGGCATTGAGATAAGCAATATTAAAACAATTGCAGCTCATTTACCACCAGATGCTGACTACCTGAGCCTCTGTCCCACAAGCCATAACCACAGCTTTGATTGGACAAGAGACTGATTTCAGTAACTTTCTCCTGATAAGAGACCACCGACCATGGACTGGTTCTGGCTAGTTGACAGTGGCTGATCACTTGAGTGCCTTTGTATTCCTGCTTCACCTTCAACATTAAATGCATTACATAATTATAATTGCCCTCTATATCAAAATGATATTATAATTACGTAATGCAATTAGTGTTGTCTCTACCCCAAAGTGAACATGGGATGCATGTAACATGCATGCTATTCAATATACGTGTGTCAAGACCCCCCAAAGTGAATATTCAATCTGTTGAATGTGTATGTTTAGCCAACCCATTTAGCATAAAGCTCCTGCCTCAATCCTTCCTCCTCCAAAGTGCCTGCTAATGGTTTCTACTGTAGGCTATACTTCCAAGCCTGTCAGTATGGCCACCTTGCAGGTTTTAACTCTTTATAAGAAAAGAAGTCTCAGCCGGGTACGGTGGCTAATGCCAGTAATCTCAGCACTTTGGGAGGCCAAGGTGGGCAGATCACGAGGTCAGGAGTTTGAGACCAGCCTGGCTAACATGGTGAAACCCCATCTCTACTGAAAATACAAACATTAGTTGGGTGTGATGGCATGTGCCTGTAATCCCAGCTAATCGGGAGGCTGAGGCAGAAGAATCACTTGAACCCGGGAGGCAGAGGTTGCAGTGTAGTCCCAGCTACTCGGGAGGCTGAGGCAGAAGAATCACTTGAACCCGGGAGGCAGAGGTAGTAGTGAGCTGAGATTGAGCCACTGCACTCCAGCCTGGGTGATAGAGCAAGACTCTGTCTCAGAAAAAAAAGAAAAGAAATCTCCTTTCTAAATTTGTATATCTCAAATTAAGTTCTCAAATTATTTGAGATATACAAATTTAGAAAGGTGATTCTTCAGTTTACACTATCTTCCAGCCTACCTATCTCTCTCCTGAAAAGACATACATAATACACAATTGGTAGACTACTATGCACAGGACTTAGCATCTAGTTTTTTTCTCTTAATTCCTAATTTCCAGATCATTCCATATCAGTACATAGAGATGATCTTCTTTATTTTAGATTGTTGCATAGAATGCTTCCATTCTATGATAGCACCATTAGATTACAAAATGAGAAGATGACTGTTGATTTCAGTAGACTTAAGGAAAGGGTGAGGAAGACTGGGAAGTCAGAAAGTAGAAGTAGAAAATTAAGTTGCAAAGGAAAGAAGGCAGAAAGTAAAAAAATTAAAGATGAGATAGGTAGCAGGTTTACACACTGTAAGTATATAGGAATAAGAAGAGAGACAGAGGTTGAAAATACATGAAGGAGAAGGGATAAGTAATGGAAATGTAAATAAAAACTGAAATTCTCAGCTCCCCCACCAACTGAATAGATCTCCCTCCACCCTCTGTGGCTAAGGGGATCCTAAAGAAAACCTCAAAAACTAGTTAAGGCCATGATGGGAAGGCAGATTGGACATACCTCATTATACTCCCTCCCTTTGGAGTTTAGACCAGCATTAAACAGGTCTAAACCATTTTCATGAAATGAAAATAGAGATCGTAAGACTGACAAAACAGACTCCTGTAGCAATAAGATTATCCAACTCCAATCTGACTATGGTATAGCATTACAAGACAGCGGACCCTGAAGAAAATAAAAATATTTTACCCCAAAATATATTTCTTTGACATATTTTGAAATGACCCTGCAAAGCTGTCTCTTTTGGGGGGAATCTGCATTTTGTACAGAATCCCTTTCCTTTTTCAGGTCTTTTCCTGATCCAGGAGAGATTTAACCAAGAGTCTGACACATTTTAAGGTCCTATAACATATGCTACCTGGAAGCTTCATCTACATAACAAGAACCTTGGCTTCCACAATCCCCCTCATTTTAACTCAAACATTTCTTTCTGCTAACTTCAACTCTTTAGGAAAAGCTTAGCTTTTTCAACCAATCATAAAGTCTCTGAATCCACCTATGATCTGTGAGCACCGCCCCCGCCTTTTACATGCATTGATCTATGTCTTTGCCTATAACTTCTGTCTCTCTAAAATGTATAAAACTAAGCTGTAACCCAACCACCTTGGGCACATGTTCTCAGGACTTCTTGAGGCTGTGTCCCAGGCCATGGTTACTCATGTTTTGATCAGAGTATATTTAACCTCTTCAAATATTTTACAAAGTTTGTCTTTTTTCATCAACAGAATAAAGTCTTTCCTTTGGGTAGATTGGAAGGATACTGACTTCAGGTGGAGACATTAACCTTGAGAGGACAGAACACCTCTTCTAAGAAGATAGAGGGAGAAGAAAAGGACTCCGTGAAAAGGAGGCGGGCTCGGTGGCTCGCCCTGTAATCCCAGCACCTTGGGAGGCCGAAGCGGGTGGATCACTTGAGATCAGGAGTTCGAGACCAGCCTGGCCATCATGGTGAAACCCCATCTTTACTACAAACACAAAAATTAGCCAGACGTAGTGGCGGGCACCTGTAATCCCAGCTACTCGGGAGGCTGAGGCAGGAGAATCGCTTGAACCTGGGAGGCGGAGGTTGCAGTGAGCCGAGATGGCGTCACTGCACTCCAGTCTGGGCGACAGATCGAGAGACTCCATCTAAACAAAACAAAACAAAACTGGTTGTAGGTAGGTTTTGTGGTAGTGGCTGGTGGAATTTGGGATTTAAGGAAATTCACTTCTGATGGTGAATTTCACCATCAGGAAAAAAAAAATCACTTTCCTCAGAGATGTAAGAAACAAAGTTTTTTATTTTTATTTTTACCAAAGCGGGTGAGTAGAGTTCAATAAGAGGTTAGAAGAGTGTGAGGGCTGGGAACAGTAGGGGAGGGGAATACGAGATAATCTGAGTAGCAATGTGTAAACGTGACTGTTTTAGGCTCAGCAATATTGCGTAGTCGTATGTGGAAGTCCCGACCGAAGTTGGACACTTTTGGTTCGCAGTGGTGCCAATTCTCAGGGGTGTGTGATTTTCTGCACCGATCCAGGAGTGAGCAAGGCTGGGTGAACTGTTGCAGACTAACAGTTTTGCAGGTGGGCGAAGGATCAGGGAGGAAATTGACTTGAGGGTGTTGGTGAGTATGATACAGGAGTTTCAGAACCTGACTACACATCTGTCGTTGATGGTCTAAATATTTGCAGGTTTGCAGGTCCAGCGATGGCACAATGCCTAGCAGCAGAAGGTTTGCACCCACTGTGCGACGTGAGTGGTGGCTCTGGAAAATCATAAAATCATGGGAGGACTTGGGAGTGCAGGCTAGGTGGGGTGGGACTGTGGCTGCGACAAACAGTGTTATGAAACTGCGCGGGACAAGAAAACTGATTTTACTGATTGCATATTGGGGGGTCCTACGGGAATCATTGGAGAGGCAATTCATTTTCTCCTATCCCACCCCATCTTTTGGGGTTGCAACTAACCTGTAAGTTTACACATTGCGGATACAATGGCACAACGGGGCCGCGAGGCGATGACGTCATTCGCGGGGGCGGGAACAGCGACCACCATTAGGGTACAGTCCATAAAGGCAGTTTGAAAATATTTCAGCCTTTTTACTTGCATACTTCCGGCCCTTGCAGTTTGAGGTGGTAACAAACGACTGCTGCTCTCAACCACTCTCACCACCGCCTGTTACCATGGAAGCGCTCGGGTAGCTAGGCTTGGACGACTCTATTCTACGTCATCGTCAAAGAACAGCCCAGGACTGATAGCTCCGCCCTAACCTAAAGGAGGGGCTGTGCTCCCAAGTACGTAGCCTGCAGTGCCTAACGCATTCTCAGTAATTTTGTCCCCCAACAGACGCCGTCGACAGTCTCCCAAGAGCAATTCCCAGGAGCTCGGATTCCAAGAGCCCCTCCGCGCCCGCGTTTACCTTCGCTAGTCGCCCTGCAGTCCCGCCCTGTCCGGAGGCCCCGCCCTCCATGAATCAGCTGATCCCGCGGACCCACGGGGTTGCCAGGATCGCGCCGGATGCAGAGCGCAGTGCTGCCGGTGGAGCTTCAGGTGAGCGAGCGCGGGTCCCGGGTTGGCTATTGGCTAAGGAGGGCTTATCGGCTGCGACCCCTTGTATGCGGAAGACCGGGGACAGGGAGCTAGGCAGAGGCTGTGGTCGAGGCCCGAGAGCGCGCTGCGGGGGCCTGCGGAGACGGCGCCTGCATCTTCCCGGCTCTGCGTGCGATCGACTGTGCCTGCCGGTCCAGCAGCACCCGAGGCGGCCCCTGCCTCGGCCCCAGATTCTCCCACTTGCCGCGGTCTCTCCCTCCCCAGACTGGGCTCCGCTGCAGTGGTCTCAGCCGCGTGAAATTCCTTCAGCCCCCCTCTTCCCGCCTCCACCCACGCTGCCTTCCAGCTATTCATTCATGAGAATTTGTTGAATGCCCACACTACTCGCTGAGCTGATAAACTGCGGTCCGTGGCCGGGAACCCAGCTGATTGTCCCTGGCGGCCTTGCCACAGGGTGCAAATCGCGTTGAAGAGTGGACCAAGGGTTGCTTGAAAAGGCGGTTACGGAGAAAGAAAATGGCTTTGATAATAAGAATTAGTAGTTTAGGCAAGTCTTTGAGCGTATCAAGTGATTTATCAAGAGGAGAAGATAAGTTATTTTGAGAAGCGAAGCCAGGAAAATAACACAGGTCCTTGACGCTGGTGTTGGTCCTCGGGTAACAGGACTACTTTGAAGACAGGCAACAGTAGACGGGTAGAATCGTACTATTGCTTAGGGCTTTGATGGTGGAAGAGGAAAAACACTCTTGTTGAAGTGGCATATCCGAGTACAGTGCTTTCTTTCTGGTTTAGGGTGGAGAAGGAACTGACTGCTGTACCCAAATGAAGATCTTTACTCAGTTACCCTTATATTTGGCTGTACGGAATAAAATTGTGTGATATGTTTATTCTGAGCAGGTACGAAACTTCAGCAAACCTATTAGTCCCACATTTCCCCCCCATTTATCGTATGATTTGGAGTGACCGCTTGACCTTTGAGTTAATGAATAATTTAAAGCAGTGAAAAATTTGTTTTTGCAGTAAACTGCAGTGTTTTGACCTTAATAACATAAACATAGTGGTTAAGATTCTAGGCTTTGCATCTGAACATGCCCAGAGTCACATCCATTAACATCTTTGACTTTGGGCAAGTTATTTAATCTCTCTGCCTCAGTTCTCTTGTCTCTAAATTGGGGATAACAATGTTTTCCTGATGACAGTACCTTTACATGTAATGGTTCATGTATCATATGTATTACAGTGCCTGTTTTATGGTAAGTATTCAATACATATTAGCTATTTTTATAATTAATTCCTCCCACTACATCATGATCCAAACTGACTCTTTTCCTAAGTGATGGGGAAGGGAACTGAATATTTTAAGGAAGTAGCTATAAAATATGATTTCAAGTTGTTCCGTAGTAATTTTGGTATTCCATAAGGACATTTTAATGTGAAAAAGATACTGACAGAATCCATACTTGGTTCGAGTTTATTAGCTTCTAAACTATGACCAGTATTGGCAGATTTAAAATTCATAATTATAGCAAGAAAACGTCAAAACTGTTTAACAATGTTAAAATTTGAAAATGATCCAGAAAAATGAAATACCAAACAGGTAATTCTGGGAAAAAGAACAAAACTTGAGTGGCATTATGTGAGCCATTTATTTTTTAAATGTATACAATATAAACAGGAATCCCTTCTCTCCAAATTTCAGTTTTTCAGAATTTGGGCTGTCATTTGAAACACTTACTTTGGGCACTTTGACTATTAAAGACAAAGGGTATGCTAAGAACTTCAATGAGTCTTGATGTAGTGTTTTTGTAATTAGGTGGTATCTCCTACCTTTTCATGAAAAATGTGGGTTTAAAGCAGTAGCTGCTGGGTCCATTCTAATGATAATCTCAAAAATGTGACTGACTTGTAAAAATCTACAATTATGTATTAATGTGAGACTAGGTAAAGTATGAGATGAAAAACTAGGAAGAAAGGCAGAGTGGTGATTTTTAAGCTTGTGTAAAAGAAGCCCTGCTTTGGGTGCGTGAGATACCTTTCTCACTCAGAGGCATGCTGTGAGGATATGTGACTTTTAAATCATTTAGCTCTTTTTATAACTTGGTGGAATTAAATCTACCACGTATTTCAAGTGTATTCGGGATATGAATTTTCCTGATAGAATTTTAACAGATTTTTGTCTCTTAACCCTTCATTGATGCCCAAACAATTTTGTTATCAGTAATAAGAAAGTACTCTGTTTTGTAGGGTGTCAGTCCTTAAGAAAATGTTAGGTAATCACCAATAAAATAGCAACAATTTCTGGCTTCTTTTTAGTATTGTATTTAATTTTCCTTTCCCTATCTTTTATTCCTCTGTATATGTGATGGTACTTTCTTTAGCTTATAGCTTGTGTCTTGATGTTTGCCTGCATGTAGCTGAACTGATTGATCCAGGTGGGTAGAGGGAAAAATATTTAAATTGGTGAGATAGTAGTTTTTGGAGCTATCGTATATTTCTTTTAAATTTGAAGAAAATTTACTGTTTTCTCAACACCTATGAGAAAAAGACTGGGGTTTGTTGGCAGAGGTTCGCTTAGCTGCTAATGAATTATGTCCAGAGAGAAGATCAGCTTTCGTCTCATTAATTCCACAAATTGATCATCTCATGTTTCCCTTAATTATCACATTTTAAATATTTTTCTTTTGAGTCATCACACAGTTCTTCAGTTCACATGGCCTCCCTGTTAGGAAGGGAGTGGTTTAGACCCAATAATAGCATTCGGGTGGGCTAACATTCACTCCAGGATTTTTTTTTTTCTTCCACAGCCTAAATTTTTGTCGAGCCAAGATCTTAAGTAACTTGGGGCAATTGCCTAAGCAAACATATAACAAGGATGATTATAGCAGCTCTTTAAAAGAGCAATAAAGTAGAGCGATCCAACTGTAAAGATTAGTAGGGAAATAGATAAACTGGTTTATTCATGCAATTCAATACTATCTTCTCATAAAAATGAATGAGCTAGATCTATACTTACCAACATATATACATCTCAAGTATGTAATACTAGATGAAAAAAGCAAAATGCTAAAGGATTTATACAGTAAGACACATTTATGTACACTTTAAAAGCAACATAATAGCATGCATTATTTATTGATATGTGTATATCTAATGAAAGTACATAAAAGTAAATATAAAAATGTGGGAATGGGATACATTAACTTTAGAAATAGTAACTAATTCTGAGTGGAGCTTCTTCACCTCTGTTACTTATTTTTTCTTGTATTTTAAAGAAAGAGCGGAAGCCAATATGAAAATATATTAATATGTGTTAAAACTGGATGATGAGTACATATATTTGTTATTTATTTTTACGGTTTTATGTATAGTTAAGATAGTTTGTGAAACTAGCAGTTTAACATTTTTATTTATAATCAGGGCTGTTTCCCAATATGCTTGCTTTATTTTACTTTGTACCCTCAAATTAGGAGACTGTGGAAAAATAACTCTTCTCTCCCTGCAATAAGAAAGGAATGTGCCAGTGCAGCTCCACTGTGTAAAGCCTTTCTAAGGAGAGGAGACAGACCAATTATTTGGTCAGTTTTGCTTTGCTGTTTGTGCTCCTGGGAAAATGCTTTCTTCAGGACATGAAGCCTGCAGGGGCATTAACATTCTAGAGATGCCTGGGAAATGTAGGCATATACCAATCATGAACTCTGGAAATATAGGGGAGCAAGTTGTATAATAAGGCCCTGAAAGGAATTTGGACATAGAGTGACTCAGATACAAAATTACTACAGATTTGTGTAGTATTAACATTAACACTTTACAAAGCTTAGCTTGGTTACATTTTACTACAATGTAGTTACCTTGAGTTTATACCTTGAGTGCAAGTATCCTAGTTATTGCTCAAAGAAAATAATTGTCTCTGTAAATATTACTAAGTAACCTGATGACAGTGTGTTAAATTGTTGACTAATGAATAAAACATTTAGTAGCTGATCCCTAATGTAACCTCAGTATCTAAACTTGTGAGTTAAACAATATGTTCATTTCTAATAAAGAATACCTGCTACTAGCACTATTAAAATAAGTGAAACTTGTATCACCAGAGTGATATTTTTTAGTGTGTATATTTCCTGTTTGGTTATGTGGCCCCTGAATGATCCTAAGCACTAAGTGTTATCAGTTAGTAAAAGAAGTCATCATACTTTGAACTGTAAATCTAATATTGCCTTTAAAAAATTGTGGCCCTTTTAATAAGAGAGTAGTTGCAAATATTAAGAGAATAAGTAGTTTGTATCAGGACTTACCAGGACATTCACTGTACCATGTAATAACAGGCACAAATAGTGGCAGTACCTGGGAATTTGAAATTCAGTTGTTAGTATTATAATATTCATCACAATGCATCGTGGGATTATTATTTAATAATCCTGAAAAGTGTGTTTAATAATATAGAGTGGGTACAAAAAAGAGCTAAGTGGGCATTGCTGGGAAATTATTGTACCATGTTTACACACTTTCACCCCCT